AAAAAAAGGTCTTCTCAAAAGGCCTCCTGAAATACGTCCCATCAAAGCTCTTCAATGGGTAGCGAAAGCAGAAGGCCTTCAATTTAGCCCAATTCAGAGTAGAAGGCCTCTTGATTCTAAGGAAGACCTTTTGAAAAGGCTTTTAGCTCAAACAAGTAAGCCACAAACATTGGATCACTATCGCAATCTTGCGACATTCGTAACACACGTCGGCAACTTGCATTAGCGATCCGAAAATTGTAGCTCACTCATTAGATAATAGCCGGCACTGAAATTATCTACTGGGTATGTCTACCCTAAATGATTATTAAGGTCGGTGTTATGCAGACAAATTTTTGTTTGCCAAATTAAATGGCGGCTGCTTAGTTTGCTCGGAGGAGGTTATGTCGAGTTTGGCACAGGGTTGCACGTTCATTATGGTTTTCATGGCTATTGCCAACACGAAATGAGTATTTTGTGTATAGCAACAATTGTCTAAAATTTTTGTATATGACAACGCCGAATTTGCTGCAGTTTGACCAAACAAAATTAGTTTGCTGTGAGAGTCGCCAAACTCGCTATCTCCGAGTTTGCTGCAACAACAATTGCACGCAGTTTGCCAAACAAAATTTCTGCATAACACCGACCTAAGTTTTTAACTAAATACATTTTGAAGCTATCAAAACAATTAAACCTGTACCTTAAGTTTAGACATATTATTTTATTTTACCTTTGTTGAAATAAATATTATTTTAAATGAAATAAAATTAAGAGTGAACAATAAATTTACATTATTATTTGCTGATTTATTAATCATCTTGAGTACTTACCGCCATTAACTAACTTATTATTTCGTCATTTCTTTACATTATTTCCGGGCTTGTATCAAAATCACTGCAAATACAAACAAATTTTTTATGAATAAGAAAAACAACAATACAATTAGATACTTACTTACATACAATAAGTAAACTCTATGCATGAATCATGATCTTGAGTAGAGCAGTAGAGGTGGAAGTAACGCTTTTTATTACGTTTATACAGAGCATTTTGCTTCAAGACTTAATATACACAAAGTTTAACTGAGAGCAATATTCTGTCTCGTCACAGAAACAGAGCAATCAAATATTCACAAAGATGCACTGGCATTCACATGCGTACATTCATGTTTACGCAAATATGTATGCGGCTGGAATTCTTTACGGTAACTGAGTTTTTTAACGTCACAAATATTAATCATGACACTAAAAATATTATATTACATTAGCGCACTTACCCTTTTATTTTTTATGTGTATGTATGTGCATATAAATCGAACATTTTTTTTTGTTTGTGATTTGATTTTTAAGCGACTCTGGATGTATGTATATGGGTTACGATATATCTCGTATGCCATTTTGTTTGATCTGTGAGAAGAAAAGCGTTGTATGAGAAATAAATTTTACCACAAAAAAAAAATCGCAAGTACATTTACCACAAAAGGTATCGCTATTTGTTGTACTACGTTAGATTTCTCCACCAACGCAACATAATACTTTTGTTCATTACATTTACTGAGGATGATGCGCTGATTAATTTTGTGTGCATGGCTGTCGCCAAGTGCAGGACATATTTTCCAATCATTCCCATTCACACGCGTGGTCAACTCGTTTGTTATGACAACCTGCGATAAATGAAATTATAAAAATTTCGAATGAAAAATAGCCTAAGAGCATTTTAATGCAATAAAATACATATTGGGAATCGCTTGATCTTTGCTCGAAAGTTTTAAATTGAATTATTGATCTATTAACCGAACAACAATTAATCAATATTTGGAACAAATTTTACAAAATCGAGAGATAACAATAACGTCCAAATTTTAACGTTCCAGAAACAGTCGGCTACTGCTCCGATTAGTAATCCTTACTACTTACTTTAATAAGGATTAGATAAGTATTAGAGACGTGAGCTACTTTTTTAAGTTTTGAGTTGTGTCCTTATTGTAGAGGATTATCGATATGTACATATGCTTGCTATTTAGGCTACATACTTGCCATGAACACTTACTGGGTGGCGATGGTGTTGCGATATATAAAAAACGGTCATACTAACTGGATACTAATAGACAGTTTCACGAAAGAAATTTAACTGAAAAACATTTTTTTTTATATAAATTTAATACGGAAACTGACAGAAACAAGTAATTTTTTAAGCAAAAAACAAAACCGACTTCAATTCTTATATAAAAATTTAAGATTATCGTTAATTTCTTCATGATCCGATGATCGGATATAAACCAAACTAATATGAGACCACCTGTGAAGTAACAACTTTCCTTTAAAAAAAGAATTATAGAAATCAGTTAACGTGGTCCAAAGTTATGCGGTAACATACATAGAGAAAATAATAAAATAAAAAAATTTTTCGACGAATTGATAACCTTTCTCTTTTTTGTGAAGTCGGTAAAAAATATAATGGCTGCATTTCTTTATTCATTCTGAACGTTTGGAATAAACCAAGGCACATTAAACAGGTAGTATCAGTAGAGCAAAAACAACATTTGCGTGTATTTCGTTGTTGCTTCTGGTATCGAAAGTGTCAACAACTGTTCTGAATTTTTTCTTCTAAATCAAAGCGTGCCATGTGAAATACAAAAAATTATAAAAAATAAAAAATTGAAATTGGAAAAAATAAAAATTGATGCAACTTTCTTTCCTAGTTGTTGTTGTTGTTGTTATTGTAGCGGCTACAACAACCCCGCCCAGATCGGTTGGTATCTCAGTCGTTGTCGTCAAGTTCCACTAACGGCAACCCTAGGAAGCGTGCAGCTTCTGTGGGATCTGTCCACAGGGACAGGGCCGTTAGGGTTGTCGGGTTTTCCGGGCATGCGAAGAGATGGTTCGAGTCATGTGGGGTCTCTCCGCATGCCGGACATTCGTTCGGCACATCCTCATTCAGCCTACTCAGGTAGGAGTTTAACCTGCTGCAGTAGCCGGAGCGAAGTTGAGCAAGTGTAGTGCGTGTCTCCCGAGGCAGATGAAGCTCTGTCTCGTCAATGTCCGTGGGTGGTATGCCTAGAACGGCATTCACAGGTCTAGAGTCTACATAACTCGAGACTGAGTCCCTGTGAATGCCGTTCAGGGCCAGTCGGTAAGTTGTCGGGTCCAGAGGTTGTTTGATAAACCTCTGGACTTCGTCCATCAGTTCATATAGATGCCTCCTGACGTGCCTAGGCGAGGGCTCCTCTGCAAGCAGCTGTCTGTTTGGGTGGCCACTTCTGTGGCTCCCGATCAGGAACTGCTTGCAGAGCATTATGTTGTGCTCCTTAACTGGGAGCATTTGCGCCTCGCCGTGCAAGTGATGTTCTGGCGACATCAGGAGGCATCCCGTCGCTGTCCTAAGTGCCGTATTTTGTCCCGTCTGTAGCTTCGTCCACTGCGTCCTACTAGTCCCTGGCGACCACACTGGCGCTGCGTAGTTCAAAACCGGCCGGCCTATTGCCTTGTATGTTGCCAGCAACGTTTCTTTGTCTTTGCCCCAAGTACTGCCGGCTAGCGACTTGAGGACCTTGTTGCGGCTCTGTACTTTATTGACAATGCGGTTGAGTGCGCAGAGAAGGAGAGCAGGCTGTCGAATGTTACTCCGAGTATTTTGGGGTTATTCACCGTCGGAATTGGTGTGTCATCGACGTGAATCCCCAGCCGTTTACTTTCAAACACAGGTCATCAATTCCATTCCCAGTCGCCATGATCGAGCAGTCGTCGGCATAGGAGACAATCGAGACTCCCTCTGGTGGTTGAGGGAGCTTTGAAATATAAAAGTTAAACAGTAGCGGGGAAAGGACACCACCCTGAGGAACCCCCTGTTTTATTTTACGCTGCTTACTCGTTTTGTCTCTAAATGTTACCGACGAATGTCGACCACTCAGATAATTTGCCGACCACCGTTTGAGCCTCTGTGGGAGAGAGGAGGCCTCTATATCTTCTAGCAGCGTGGAATGGCAGACGGTGTCAAACGCCTTTGACAAGTCCAACGCTACTAGAATCGTTCTCTCACAGGGACGGTTGCGGTTAAGGCCACGAGTTATCTGAGTGTTTATGGCGTTAAGTGCTGTTGTTGTACTGTGCACTTTACGGAAACCATGCTGATGCTTCGCTGGGGTCAGGTGGTTTGTGAAGTACGGGAGTAGCAAGGCCTCAAGTGTCTTCGCTACCGGGGAAAGGAGTGTAATCGGACGATACGAATCTCCTTTGTTGGCGGGTTTCCCCGGTTTGAGCAGTGGGACCACTCTCCCCGCCTTCCAGATGTCTGGGATGATGAGAGTGGCCATTGACAGGTTGAGGACCTCCGTTAGGTACGCTACCCCCGCAGGACCCAAATTTTTCAGTATCAGCATGCATATTCCGTCGGGACCCATGGCTTTGGAGGCTTTCGCCTTCCCGATGGCCACCTGAACTTCACCGCAAGTGAAAGCAAGGGGGGCACAATTTGTTGGCAGTTTGTGCAGCCTTCTGGTCACTCGACGCTTGGCTTTGTCTACCGGAGGATGCAGTATGAACTGCCGGCTAAAATAGCTCGCGCATCTCTCCGGGTCCGACGAAGCATGGTCGCCGAAGGAAATTTCGACTCTGTCGTCGTGCTTCGTCGGATTAGACAATGACCTCACGGTTGACCAAAGCTTGCTCACACCAGAGGTGAAATTACAAGTCTTCAGGTGCTCCTCCCACTTCTTCCGCTTATGTACGTTCACAAGTTGCCGAATCTCCGCGTTGAGATCCCTGATACGGGGATCTCCGGGATCGGCCTGACGAAGGCTATCACGCTCATCAGCTAGAACAGCCGCTTCGGCAGGGAAGTTTGGACGTGGGTCCGATATACATCCTGCCGGTATGAAGCGAGCTGCAGCAGCAGTGATAGCCCTGCGGAACTTACGTTCACCGAGGTGGACGTCGGTTGGTGTGGGGAGCGCAGCGAAGGTGTTTTCAGTAAACTCCGCGTAACCTTTCCAATCAGCTTTGGAAAAGTTGATATAGGTCCGGTGTTTGGCGGAGGCAAAGTCGGTTGGTTTATCAATCGAGATGACTAGTAAACTTGTTTGCTTCTCGAAGCATTGATCCATCCTTTGCAAGGCCCAGTAATCAGCGGTCGTGCTGCCGAGTTGGGCGAACGTTCCAAAAGCTGCTATTCAATCGCTTGTTTTGTATGGAAAAAGGTTTCACAAGCAAATTGATTTTAACAACTTATAATTTTCGTGAGAAAAAATTAAAAATATTTGACATTTTCGAGACCAAATAATTTGAAAATAAATCAAATCAGCTGCTCTACTGATACTACCTGTTCAATGTACCTTGGAATAAACTTTTTTGTTTATTTATTCTTTAGAACGTTCCTGATGATATGTTGACGTATATTTCAAACGCATTCTGTTTATTCCGGCTGTGAAATTGGATTATCCGGAATGTATAAAGAAACGCAGCCAATAATTTTTCACCTAAATTGTTTCCGTGAAACCGGCAGTAAGTGACTACCAAATACCACTGATTTTTGGGATTTTTTTTTTTTGTTGGCGGTGTTGTCGATTTTCCTCCATATAAAAAAATGTCGACTAAAACTTTGAATAACTTTTGAGGGAGTGAATTTATAAAAAAACTATCCGAGACTTTTTTACGTTCATACCGAAAAATATTATTAAATAAAATTATAGTTTAAAAAAAAACTAAAAAAAAAGTTTCCAATCGTACTGTCATCAGGTATGTAACTTGAAAATAGAAATCGCTGCATCTTTTAGGCGCATCAATATTACATAGTTACATCCCGAGCTAATAAAACGGAGGTAAAAACAAAAATTTTGGATAAATGGTTTGAAATATTGGTGAAAATTTGTTGAATTTTTATATGTTTTTGACAAATTTTGAAAAGCCAAACTGGTCTAAATAATTTTAGAATGTGGTTCTAGGCATATATATAATACTCCTATATTGGCAGTAAGAGCTAGTACCGTCCGAAAACACTACAGTACAGATATATCAATAAACACGTACGAAAGAAAAGGAACACATAAGTTTATATATAAACATGTACACGACACATTCACAAAACCGGCACTCAAGTACACAATACATTGACAAAAACAGTACTAGACTGTCTCGCTTTGATTTCGGAATGCTTACACATTGAGATGTTAGCTTACTATCAATATAGAAGTATTACATATATGGTTGTAGGCAATATTGGTCGCTCATATTTTACTAGGTATTTTGTCGAGTTTCTCCTCCAATTTCTGAAGTACATTTGGACCACGAATCGAACCTGGATCCTGCCGTGTGGTATTGCGCACCCATAACCACTCGGCTACGGCTACGCACACAAAAGTCCAAGTATGCATTTAAAACTGATTCAATTATTTAAAGACCAAAATAGAAAGCGAGATCTACTTACAATGAGTTTGTACTCCACTGCTAAGTGTTGCAACTCGCTCAATAAGGTATAAAGTATTCCTGTACGTTCGGAAACTTCCTCAATCACACGCAGTGGAAAAGAGAACGAATCAATGACGATTAGTTTGATCTAGCGCAAGACAAAAATATAAAGTCAAACACATACATACGTAAATTTATGAGAAAGTGGTATATATTTATTTACCTCTTTATCCTCCATTAACATTTCATGCAATTTCTTTACGGCAGCCTGTAGCATTAAAAAGCCTTGACAGTAAATATATGTAACACCATTCATTATAGAATTAGCTGTGAAAGAATTTTGGGCATGAGTATGGATATCGGTTTTATGTAAGGTTCGGTGGAAGCGCTTCTCTGTGCAAACGGCCATTTCTGTTGTTCAATTGTTTTAACTCATTAATATTATTTTGTACATTAAATGTTTGTCTGCATGACTACTTTTACCTAGCAAACGTGTGGGACTGAAGTCCTGATTCGTGTCCAGATAAACTGCTTTACCTTGAAGTCCACCGACTGTCCGAGGAAATTGTACATTAATACACAGTTGCAAACTATAAAATATTACACTTGAAAATTTAATTCAGTTCAAAGTGGCTAATTTTCTTACCACATTTGTGTTTTACCACAACCAGGTCCGCCGCAAAATTCTGTAATCAATCCCGCAACGATGCCTCCAGCCAGCTTATCATCCAGCTCCTTGCAAAGTGTGATAAGCCGGGGCATTTCTTTCTCTTGACGCCATATATCAAA